CCCCTCCCACTGGGACTGGCCACACTGAATTTGACTCTTTGGAGATTTTCCCCTACATGCCAAGGATACTCGAGGCTGCCAGAGTCTCTGCCTCCCCTCCAGCAGAGCCCTAGGTAAGAGACAAATATCCAAGGGTTGATTCCCTAAAAAAAGAAAATGCCAGAGGCATCTGGGGAGCTCTGAATGTGCCCTTCCCATTAAAATGCCTGAAACATTTGGGAGGTACCAATTATGTCCTTTCACACACACCCCAGTGTGAGCAACACCCCCGACACACACACAACCAAGCCTGGTCTCAGAGCAGCTCTCAAGGACAGAGACCCCTCACTGAGCAGAAACCTCCCCACTGGGCAGAACCTACACCCATCCATGTCCATGGGGCAGCTGAATTCACACAAACTGCAACCAGCTCAGGAAGGGACTGGAAAAGAGGCTGCCCTCCTTCCTGTAGATGGTTCTGTGATAATCACCCAAGGATCACTGTAGCCTGGGGCTAGAATTTAATTTCCGGGACTCAGAACAAACACAATTAGGCAGTGCTGCAGGAGAAGGGCAAGCTTCTCAGGCTTGGTGGCCTTTTCTAACCTCTGGCTGGAAGCTGAGTGTTCTAAGTTTTTAATCAACCAGAGTGGCAACAGAGAGAGGTAGACAAAGGGAGAGGGTGGAGGGAAGTGGGGTGGTGGTGTTTGAGGGCTGGGTGAATGTCTATAAGAGAAAAATGAATGGATTTTTTCCAAATCTTGATTATTCCCACCTAGATGATCTGTCTTAGAATTAGTTATGGCCCATCACTCAATGAACATCAGCTGGACAGAACTTAGGAGAACAAAGCCCTGGAAGGGGTGTGTGAAGAGGAGTGGTCCATGCTCTGTGCTTGCTCCCGGGAAGGGCCCCAGATTCCCAGAAGCAGATGATGTGCATACAGGACACATGCTCATATCTGGAGTCTAGATGCAGGTACGGTCTGAAGGACCTATCATGCCCTGAGTGAGGCCCTTACTGGGGTTTCACACTACACAGGCACCTGGTGGGCATCCTTCTGGCATTGTATATGGCATGGGGTGAGTGCAGAATTCCCATCAGCAGCATTGTTTCCTCCTGGCCTCCTCCTAATCTGTCTAGGGGATCATGATGTCCCAAAGACCCAGGGACAAAGTCCTACCCCATTCCGAAGTCAGTAAGGAGCTCACAGCTCACAGACAGTGGACTGGACCACCCAACTTCTTCTCTGCCTAGAAGAACAAACTGCTTACCCAGGGACATGATTTCAGCAAGTCCTAGGTGATCAGACAGCTTGGCCTTGTCTCAAGTTCTTCAAGGATGACCTGTCATCTCAGAGAGGTGCAGAAGCATGGCCAAAGAACAATTCTATCTAGCAAATGCTGTCCTTCCCACAGAAACTTTCAGAGTTCCACTGGGATTCTTCTCAGAGCCTGAGCTAGGCAAGGAGTGCTGGGCATTAAATCTCAACATCTGCACTGAGTAGGTAACCACCTGGCACCCAGTTTGTATTCCATGAGGGATAAACTTGAAAAGCCAGAGCTCAGAGGGCAGCACCATGGCTGTCCTGATGTGGAACTGAGAATGTGCATTCAGCTAGTCAGTTCTTCCAGTTTTCACCTTCACTCTCATGTCAGCTACTTCATGGTAATCTTTCTATGTCTGCATCTCTGGCTTGAGCTGCACTTCTAAGCATCCAAATTACATGGCCTAAGCTTACTCCTTCATTATAGGAAGTGTTCCACTAGTTTCTGTTCTCAGCGAAAACATCACGTGCCCTTATGCTCAGTAAAATCAACTTTAACAAAATCAGCCTCCAGTACTCTCAGCAGGAGGCCTACAGGAGCCCAGCCCCTCCTCAGCAGATGCTGGGGACCCCAGACACTTGGAGCCCTGTGCTCATATGGCTCCTCTTCGTAGATAATTTTAAAACCAGTCTAAAAGCCATCAGGGAAATGGAAATTAAAACCACAATGAAACACTATCTCACCCCCGTTGGGATGGCAACTATGAAAAACAAAACAAGAACAAAAAACAGAACATAACAAGGATGTGGACAAACAGAGCTCTATGCACCGTTGGTGGGAAGGGAAAATGGTGCTTCTGCCTTCATTGTGGGCTTCCAGGCTCCAGAACTGTGAGAAATAAACACTGTTGGGGACCAGCAGGTGGTGTGGTGGCTAAGGTGCCAGACATTTCCCACGTGGCTGACCATGGTTTGAATCCCAGACCTGGTGGCTTGCCTTCTTTCTCTGTCTCTCTCTGGTCAAATTAAAATAAATAGATGAATAAATGAAAAATTAAATAATTCTTAGGGAAAAAAGGGAAATAAATGCTGTTTAGGCTGTCCAGTCTATGGTATTTTTATTATAGCCAAGTGAACAGAAAGAAACCATGAGGCACCTAGAATAGTCAAATTCATAGAGACAGAAAGTAGAATTGCAGTTGTCAGAGGACAGGGAGAAAGAGAAGAGAGAGTTGTTAACAGGGATAGAGTTTTGCAAGATGAAAAAGTTTTGAGAGATTTATTTCACAATAAGACAAATATATTTAATGCTGCAGAACTACATACTTAAGATGATTAAGATGGTCAATTTTATATTATATGTAATTTATTACACTTTTAAAATAGAAAATATAAACAAAAGCCAAGAACCAGATACAGCAAGTATGGAAGCTAAAGCCCCAAAGGCTGGAGCAGCCAAAGTTAAGTGGCCATTTGGCTGGGAACAGACCAGTCTCGCTGGTCCTGAACAGGGCTGGGCTTCGGTGGGCTGCTAACCATTCAGACCCATTTTACTGACAGCCATTTTCACAGGCAGTTCGCAACACAGTCTTTTGAGGGTGGGACTCAGGTGTGGCCGAGCCTATGTACATCCTTTTCCCGCAGAGACATGGGACAGACTAGGAATCTTGGCTGCCTGGACACTCTGCACTGAAACTGTCCATAAGTGGATGGGAGCTGCTTGTCTCTGTCTTCATTCCCTCCCTTCCCATCATGGAGTCACAGCCCTAGCCACAGAAAAGAAGCTGGAAGGATGACAGTGCCTGGGCCTCACCCTTCACGCGTTCCCAGACACCCACCCAGCACCTGGCAACTGCAGCTCAAGGACCCCTGAAGGCCTGATTAGGTGGCCTAATTAGGAAGCAGAAGGAGCCCTTCATTGTACAACAAACTTGCTTCTGAAAATGAAATCCAGAGGCTTTCTCTTTTCACTCCCACTCTGCAGCGGCCCATTTCTGATTGGCTGACTTTTCAAAGTGAGAGCGGTCAAGGAGCAGGAATCCCGGGGCTCTACAGACCCAATGGGGGTGGGAGACTGGCCAGTGATGTTCATAAGGAACACGGGTCATCCCTAGGCAGAGGTGCAGGGGCTAACAGAGATAGGGAGAGCTGTGGGGGGAGGGAAGAGGGGAGCCTGAGGGTACCTACACCTGCCGGCCTTGCCTACCCCAGGGTTGGTCTTTTCCTTTCAGATCCTCCAACCTGGCATAGGTTTCCCAGTGTCCCTCCTCAGGCCTGATTTCTAAATACCTGATGACAACAGTGTATCCCTGTCAAAGCTACCCCTTCTGAACCCAGTCATAGCCCATAACAGCGGGTCCTCTGTTGCTAATAGGCACAGATCTTGCCTGCCTCCGCACTGCCTGCACCCTCTGTGACCCTGGGGGACAGAATTTAGGTTCAGCTGGCAGAACAGGAGAGCAGGGGCTGTCCCAAGGGGCCTGTGATGTCTCTGACAACTTCAGGACTCACCTCGAAGTTCAACTCTTTTTTCACAACTGATAAAACTGTATATGTCCATTGGCATCCCTCCACCCCCATATGTAGAGATGCGAAAAATACTCTCTCCTTTGGGCATAAGAGGTTTTTTTTTTTTTTAATGAATTTGTGCAAAGGGGCTCATTTGCTCTGACTTACAATTACCTCAGGCCTCGGGTAACCTAATGCAGCAATCGTTTGTGATACAATAAAATGGAGGTAATTAATCGCATTCAAATGCCCTGTGTATTATGCTCTGGTAGCATAGCAATCCCTTTAAAAAGGGTTTTGGAGCTTAAATAGACACAGAGTCCAGACAGCTGTGCAGACAGGAGAGAGGAGGGAGGCCAGGCTCCATCTGCCAAGCCTCCTGGGACCGCTGAAAAGAAACTGTCCATTCAGAAGTGATTCATCACAACAGGGCCATCCACGCAGAAGCCGAGGGCTAATTCCAACCTTTTCAGAGTGCTCGTTAAGCCTCTTTGAGTTATAATGACCCCCAATCTCTAGATATTACAAGGCAGCAATCAGGAAGTTAGATCTGGCCAAGAGAAAACAAAAGGAAAGTGAAGATTTGGGCTCCAGCCCCCAGCAAGGCGAGCAACCTACTTGGAGGACACAGCAGCAGGGCTGGCCCAGGGCAGGAAGGGGCCAGGGATGGGAACAAGGACGTACATGCAGCTGCACACCCTCGGTTGTGTCACCTGTAGGCCTCCGAGGTGCAGATGCAGCTGGGCATCGGGACTCCTGTTAGCCACAGCTGCTACGTTCGCCAACAGTCCCGAGTGTCACAGCGGCTCCTGGACGTGAGGTGTCAGCCGTACTACAGGGCACTCAGAAACTCGTTTCTTTCAGGCTTTGTGACGGCTCTATCTCTGAGGAAAGCTCTTGGTTTCAGAAGGGTCTCAGGATTAAGAGTGAGTGGATGCCCCCACATGGTGACAAAGGCCCTTCAGTGGCTGTGCCATTGTCGCTCTCAGCTCCCAGCTGAGCTATGAGACCTCCGAGACCTGACTAAAGGACAATGGAGCTCGGTCAACAGCCCAGCCTGATGCCCCAGCTCACCAGCCTACCTGGTGGGTGCCCTCCACACACTCACAGCAGACCTGAGCCTGCTGCCCTGGTGGGGCTGGCTTCTCCAGAGGAGAAATGGAGCAGGTGGGCTGAGAGGATACTTGTCCACACCATGGCCTGCCATAGCCTCTTGCCATGCTAGCTCTCAAAGGCTCCATCTTACCTTGCCAAAGCTGCCTTTCCCGATGGCTCGCAGAATCTGGAAGTGGTCGAAGTTCACTGCAGAATAAAACAGAGGGACAAAGTGAAGGGGCAGAAAGGCACACAAGACACCGCCCTCCCCCCCCCACACACCCCACTTGAGCAGCTCCTTCACTTTGAGTAAGCTCAGCAGTCCACCCAGAGCTCTCTTCAGCCTGGAGGAGGACCAGCCTCAAGGAGGCAGGAAGGGGCTGAGGCCAGGCAGAGAGATAGACTGGGGGCTATGTAATGCCCTCTTCTCAGGGACAGCCCATCTGGCCCACAGACGGTACAGAGAATGACCAAGCACACATAGCACCCAGAGTGTTAGCCATGGCTGGGCTTCAGTCCCAGGCACACAGCAGCCCTGCACTGAAATATGTCCTCAGCCCATGAAGACCCATGAATAGGCAGGCCCCGGGAGTCACAGGAGAAGCCAGGTACACACTAGCAGCTCTCTCCAGTCCCAGGCAGGGTCTCTGGCTCAGGTCTCTTCCTCTACTCTGCTCTGGGGGTGTTTGCTCTGCTGGAATGCACTGGACGAGTCTGAGGAAAGTCCGCAAATACCCCCAAGATTAATAACAGCGGTGTGAGACACAGGAGTGTGGTTGTGTCAATCAGTGACTAAGCGTGTGCATAAGAGCACCTGTACTATGCACAAGGGTGTTCCACGGGCCTGTGTAAAGCCACGGAAGTCGGATTTCTATTGACTTCTCCACAGATCACAAAAGCAAGGCCTTCCTAGAGAAAGCCAACTTTTCTCATTGTCTCACTCTCCTAGGAGACACTCCCCTGTGGTATGCACAGGCTTCCAGGTACGTGTGAATCCATGCAGACTCTGGGTGCTTTTTGGACCTCCTCCCAATTATTTTGAACCTGAGACCCTGAGCCTGCTGCCCTGGTGGGGCTGGCTTCTCCAGAGGAGAAATGGAGCAGGTGGGCTGAGAGGATACTTGTCCACACCATGGCCTGCCATAGCCTCTTGCCATGCTAGCTCTCAAAGGCTCCATCTTACCTTGCCAAAGCTTCCTTTCCCGATGGCTCGCAGAATCTGGAAGTGGTCGAAGTTCACTGCAGAATAAAACAGAGGGACAAAGTGAAGGGGCAGAAAGGCACACAAGACACCGCCCTCCCCCCCCCACACACCCCACTTGAGCAGCTCCTTCACTTTGAGTAAGCTCAGCAGTCCACCCAGAGCTCTCTTCAGCCTGGAGGAGGACCAGCCTCAAGGAGGCAGGAAGGGGCTGAGGCCAGGCAGAGAGATAGACTGGGGGCTATGTAATGCCCTCTTCTCAGGGACAGCCCATCTGGCCCACAGACGGTACAGAGAATGACCAAGCACACATAGCACCCAGAGTGTTAGCCATGGCTGGGCTTCAGTCCCAGGCACACAGCAGCCCTGCACTGAAATATGTCCTCAGCCCATGAAGACCCATGAATAGGCAGGCCCCGGGAGTCACAGGAGAAGCCAGGTACACACTAGCAGCTCTCTCCAGTCCCAGGCAGGGTCTCTGGCTCAGGTCTCTTCCTCTACTCTGCTCTGGGGGTGTTTGCTCTGCTGGAATGCACTGGACGAGTCTGAGGAAAGTCCGCAAATACCCCCAAGATTAATAACAGCGGTGTGAGACACAGGAGTGTGGTTGTGTCAATCAGTGACTAAGCGTGTGCATAAGAGCACCTGTACTATGCACAAGGGTGTTCCACGGGCCTGTGTAAAGCCACGGAAGTCGGATTTCTATTGACTTCTCCACAGATCACAAAAGCAAGGCCTTCCTAGAGAAAGCCAACTTTTCTCATTGTCTCACTCTCCTAGGAGACACTCCCCTGTGGTATGCACAGGCTTCCAGGTACGTGTGAATCCATGCAGACTCTGGGTGCTTTTTGGACCTCCTCCCAATTATTTTGAACCTGAGACATTCTCATCAGATGTAAGAGAGGGTTCTTCAATGTCAAAATGAGTTTCTCCTCTTCTGACTTCTCAGTTTCCTACTCCCAGGCAGGGGTGCATCTCCACTGGGCTCAGGCTAGCCTTGCTGTCTGCCCAGCACCCCTGTCAGACCAGCAGTTGGCTTCACTGCATGCCTCAAAGCTGCACTGGGAGGGTTCCAGTCCTTAGCTGGGGCAGTGTCCCAGAACTGGGCCAGCTTGGAACTGACTCTGAAGTCTGAGGAAGCCTGCATCGCCTCTGGGGAGGGGATGGGGGCACGAGGTGGGGGATCATGGGGCTGCGGCTAGTTACAGGGCAGCTGGGCAATATGGGCTTTGCTGGGCAGCTCTGGTCCCCGGGACCCTCTGTCTGCTCAGACTCCACCCAGGCCCAGGCTGCTGCTGCCCAGAGACCCTGGACTCCTTCCACACTCATCAGAGGCAGAAGAGCCCCAACCTGCACACCAGCTGATAGTCAGTACAGCCTCAGCCATTTCCAACACAGTTGAGGATGAAGGTGTCCCATGACTACCCCTGGAATGGCCACACTGACTCTGCCGTGCCCAGCCTGGCCCCTGACCTCTGGAGCACTGGAGCCTGGGAGTACAAGTCCTCTCCCTGTAGCCCCCAAGTGGTCAGTACAAAGCAGAGCCCCAAACACCGGCCCCATTGGCTGTGAGTTAGCATGGGCTCCAACACAATAGTCACCATTATTAGAGAAAAAGCACAAGTTCCTGGCATTAGCTTTTTTTGAAGAGAAAAAGGACAGGCAATTAAATAGATTACATAACAGGTCAGAAACTTAAGGAGATCTCACATTAACTACTTTACTCTGTGCTTATACACCCATAAAGCAAGTGTTATCATCAAGAGATTTAGGGCAAGGCATCTCAGAGAGAAACCTCATGAGATCTGCTCAGGCTGGGAAGCCACAAGGCCATGTGCGCTGCTGATGCAGACACTGGCCAGCCTGTGGCCTTCTGCGGGCCCTCGTCTTCCCATGGAGGAGGAAGGGAGGTCCTGCGGTCTGTACTCGGTGGTGCTTGCCCTACGGTGCCTATGGTTTGAGCACAACTGTCCCCACTTCCTGAGACTAACCGGGAGGTGCAACGACGCAGAGAGGGAATCCCAGACAGTGGTACCCATGAAGGTCATACAGACGCTGCTCAGGGAAGATGCAGGTGGGATAAGAATCCCAGATGTGGCTGCAGACATCTTGAAACCCGTAGCATGGTGTCCTCTGTGCAGGGCATACTTTACATTAGGACCATGAGAAGCCACCATCAAAGACTGTTGTAGGTGACAGCTGCATGCATATGGATTCCTGCTAAGAGGAACTGCCAGCCCTGACTTTGCCAGGTAAGCCTCAGGCCCTCTGGGTAACTGAGGGCTCTGCAGGGACCCTTGGACCTGCTGCTCCACTCTAACACCCAGGCCTAACACCCTAACACTGGAGCTCCAGTTCCTGCTTTGGCCTGCTCCCCAACTCCTCCACCAGTACTTGCATTAGCAACCCACCAGGGTCTCAGTGCTGCTCTGGAGCAGAGCCAGGACCTACCATAACCGCCTGCCCTGCCAGGTGCCCAGCCAAGGCATTCAGCCTGATTGATTTCTGGCTCCTAAAGGAGATGCTGGCTCTTGTTCCAACATCCAATGGAAGCAGCAATAATGAGAAGGAAATCCACTGGCAGGGAGTTTGTCAGGTAGTCATCTTATGGTCTTTGCAGAGAGCAGCACAGCCAGCCCGCCACAGCCTCAGGTTCCACATCCAAGGATCAAAATCGTCCCCTTGTTTTCCATATGTACTATGTAGCTGAAAACGCACAGACTTTTTGCCTTGTCATTATTTTCTAAGCAATACAGTAGAACAACTAAGACCAGCAGATGGCATAATGATTACATTGCTGAATAGCTGACTATGGTTCGAGTCCTGGACTTGGCTTAAAACTCAAACTGGGTGTATGTGTGTGTGTGTGCCCAAGATCCTGAGAGGAGAATGGAGGAAAAGGGATTGCAGTGTGGCCATTGCCCTGGGAGGGGGGTGATTTCTCACTTTCTGTCTCTATCTTTCTCCTGTGATTGCACACACCCTATAGCAAAAATCTCTCTAAAAACAAACAAACAAAAAATAGTTTAACAACTTTATATATAGCATTTACATTCTATTGGGTATTGTAAGTGATCTAGAGATCATTTAGAGTATGCGGGAAGATGTGTGTAGGTTATATGTAAATACTACGCCCTTTTATATAAGGGACTTGAATGTCTATAGATTTTGGTATTACAGGAGGTCCTGGTGGATACTGAGGGATGACTGTATTGTAATCAGTATGATGTACTGAATACCCTGCTAACACCATCACCCAGAGAATCAGTGTCTGGCAATTCATTAAAATCCATATCGTTAGAGTTTCTGAAGTTCCCTCAAACACTGAATCTCATGTCTGCACAAGGGGGATGTAGCAGAGGCTGTTGGAGCTCTAAGGAGCAGGGTCGGGTGTGGCAGAACAGAGGAGGGGTATATGTCAGCGTATGCAGAGGAGGGAGATCCCCAGGGCAGAGGAGTGTTGGGGGTACCCAGAGCTCATGGACTTCTTAGGTTTCCACCTAACTTTCCCCTGATCCATGGATCTTGAGTGACCATCCTGTGGTCTCAGTCTCAGGTTCTGGAACGCACATGCACGTATGTATGTGTACTTGGCAAAGCTTGCTGTGCAGAATGAGTGGCTCTCAGCTCCTGCTGTGCTGGGACCTCCCTACTGCATTTCTGCTCTGCTGGGTCTTCTGCCTCCATATAATAAAGTCTCTATTCCTTTTCCCAAAAACCTACCTCCCCACCAGGTTGCAAGCCCCTCACACAGCACTGTCTCTCATTCAGCCCCTCAGGTTCCTACAAGCAAAGTAGGCCCAGAATGGGTCTCAGCAAAGCTAATCTGGTAGGAAGGCTACAGGTGGGGGTCCAGTGGGGATCTGTGCAGCAGAGGCCTTGCAGTACCAGGTCTGGCTTGAGGACATGCACACAGGGGAGTCATGGAGAAGGTGGGATGTAAGGCCCCTGCAATGAGGCAGAGGTGAGTAGATGAATGGAGTGGCAAAGGGTACAGTGAATGGCC